GAAAAACAACTTACCAACCAGTACCGCCGAAGCGCGCGCCGCGCCGGGGAAAAAAACGGGGTTGTGGCCGCACAGATCCGGTGGCGTACGGAATCGGCGCCCCATGGTTGGGGAAGGCTTCGCCCAAAAGAGTTTCAAGGCAAAAAAATTCCGGCCGCAGCCCTCGTCGCGCTTCCCCGCTTGTAGAGGGGCCCGCTCTGCAGCGGAGAAAACCTGCCCCATTTGAACCCCAAATAAACGCGGAGGGAAAATGGGAAGAACTTGGGGGCTGCGGTCGGCGGTGTTATGAACGGCCGCCGGGGCTGGGGCCTTTGAACTTGGGTCGGGGATTGTCGGCCCCGGGCGCGCGTGGAATTGTTTTATTTGTTCCATTTCTTTTCGCTGGAGCTGGTCGGTACGGGGCAGTGAAGTTTGTTGAGGATGTTATTGTTTTTATTATGGGTGGGTGTGTGGGACGCCGTGTTTCTCGTGCTATTGTCGTTGTTGTGGCGCGGTGCCCGACGAGAGTCGCTATTTTGTTTTTCGCTGTGCCGGGCTGGTGCGCAATCGGGTGTGGTGCAACTTAATAGTTTTTTTAAATATTGGGGAGTTGAGCTGCCGTGTCATTCGTCTGTTGTGGCTCCTTTTCCGGAAGTGGGGCGGGTTTTCTGGGTGTCTTCCTTTTTGTTCAGCCTCTGCAGTGGTCCTTTGGTTTTTTTTGTTGGGTTTCTGGCTATCACATTTTCTACTTTTACTGTGCTTAATCTAAACTCTCTGTCTAAGGCACCGGGTGCGTCAACATTTTAGAGAGGGCGCGCCCTTGCTGGCGAGTTTTTGTTGTGCTTCGTGAGTAAGACTGCTAACTTCTCCGCTGAGATTTTACATGGTGATTCTTGATGAGTGCTGAGGATGAACTGTCCACCGTTTTTTTTTCTTGAGCTTGGGAGTGGCTCCAGAGTGAATTTTGTTTTTGCTTTTGAGGATATAGCTAATTCTTTTATTATTGTTATTATTAGTTTTCAGTCAGTCCTCAGGGAGTTGCTATCGTGTCCGTGTATCTTCATCCACGAAGTTTCCAGTCCATTTTCCCCCTCCTTTTTGCCCTTTAATATATATATATATATATATATTTACCGCCTTCGTGAAGGCGCCCTCGTAAAAGGGATTTCGTTTGACTACAAGTGTTCGTTAGCTTTTTTTTCTCTTTTGCCGATTGTGATTCCAACGCGCGAGTAGGATCCTACTATGGCTGGGGTTCACTTCCTTCCTTCCCCCTCTTTCCAGAACCTTAATTGAGTTGTTTTTTTTTACATGTCAACAAAGAAGGTTGCCATTTGCCTCCCTCTTTTTGTTTCTTTCATCAAAATTTTTTTAGAAGTTATTTCTGGGAAACTACTCTGGAGCGCGCTAAGGGTTCTTTATTTCTGTCTGAAAGTGTCTTTTTCTTCGTTTCTTTTTGTTGGATTTCCCTTGGAAGGTTTTGGCGGGAGAAATGCTCGCCTTTTCTGAGAAGCGCTTGGCGTTTATGCGGCATCTCGGAATCACGGAGGACGATGTATTGGATCCTTCATTGGTGACAGGGGAAGCTGGGAGTGAAAAAAATTTTCCCAAAAGTCGCTTGGCTGGTAACTTGGTCCGTGAACCGCCTCTGAATGAGGACTGCCTCAAGACGACTAGCGCAGTATTTCCGGTCGTGGATCCAGCCGAATCTAAGGCGAACCACTTAAAAAAAGAAAAGCCGATACAAGGGAAGGGAGCTGATGGAAGGCGTAACACTGGACTCTCAGCTGAGCAGTTGAAGGTCGATGGAAACCGGGCATTTGAGGATGGGCGCTACCGTGAAGCGTTGAACTACTATACGAATGCTATAGAGCTTCTTCTTGATTCAGGTAGTTACCAACTGAAAGAGAACGGTCATCTAAATACAAAATGTAATGGGATCATCGGGCCTGGATTCGGTGGGTCTGACTCGAGGACTATTTTGCTTGCAGCCTTGTTCAGTAATCGATCAGCCTGTTATCTCCAGGCCTCCAAACAAATAGGAGCAGCTGAAGCCCTTGAAAGTGCTATACGTGACGCGGATCGCGCGGTTGAGCTTCGCCCAACTTGGTTTAAAGGTTATTCTCGACAAGGTGATGCGTTTTTCAAAATGAAAAAATACCACCAAGCAACCGAGGCATATGAGATGGCATTGCAGTTTGATCCTGGAAACAACAATCTTCTCCAGTCAGTAAAAGAAGCTCGACAGCGTGGTGCAACAGAGGCTCGGGAAAGCATACATCACACCAAAAGACATGCTACAGTGGGACGTGGGGAGCGAAATGCCGCACCTGTTACGTTTGTGCCGGTGGCAGTTCCCGCACCTGCTAATATTTCTTCTGGCACTGCTAATTCGGGAAGGCGTGATAGTGCTCAGCTCAGAACTTCTGCGCGCCAGCTTTGGAGTGAATTTAAATCAGAGGTTGAAGCTTCTGTTCACAAGCCGACCGGTGATGATTACAGACGAGAGCAATTACGGTTGTTTCGAGAGCAGAAGGAGCGTGAGCGGAGCGGAGTTACATTATCCCCTTCTTCGGAAAACCGAAGTAACGAAGAGCCGTTTCGCAAGGAAACTACGACAGAGCAGAAGGCTCCTGGAGGTGCTGCTTCCACAAGCAACGCGCCTCCTAGGAAGGGAAGAAGTGAGGCAGTGCCGCCGGAGTTTTCATCAGATGCTGCTGCGGCATATCAACAGCGTCTTCTTGATGAATTTAGGCGGAGAAAGGCACAACGGATGTAAGATTTCGTTGATGCCACATTCAATGTACCAATGATGCGAAACAAACGAAAAAAACAGAACAACAAAAGCGGACAAACAAAAAGCAACAACCACAACGAAAGTGTCTTTATATATATTCCTTTTTTTGAAGAGGGTATACTATGTTATCAAAAAGTAGGGTGCGATAATGCTCATGAATGATGGGGACATGTAAAGACTGTTTTAGTATTGTAGGGTTTCCATTTCAATTATGCTTCTTATTGTCATATTATATATCTATATATTTCTTTTATTTTGTCTGATTTCTGTCTATTTTGCTCATCTTGGTGAATTTTTTCCCCCTTATTATTGTTTTTTTTTTAGCTTGTAGGGTAGCTCAATGGCAACAGCCTATTTGCCTTACTACGATTGTATCAAGTGCACATTACACGCGGCCTTATGCATAGGGAATTATCCTTCACGTACTGTGGAGCGCCACAATAAGCCAGAAGTTGAGGTTGCAGATCAACTGGCGCATGCTGATGGAAACAAATTGCAAGAGTTTGTTCTTAACCCCATACGCATTCTGCGATCAGAGCAGGAAGGTTGCCTTATCGAGCCTAGTATAAATAGCACACGCATATCTGTATCCTTTCTTAAGAGTGACGCCATTGCAGAACTTATTGCCCGAAAATACGTAGGATTTTTGGCTCAACGAGCCAAACAGTTTCACATATTGAGGAAGAAACCTATTCCGGGATATGATATAAGTTTTTTAATTTCTCACGAAGAAGTGGAGACCATGCATCGGAGTAAGATTATTCAATTCATAATTGATTTCTTGATGGAGGTTGATGCTGATATTGCCGCAATGAAATTAAACGTGAATCAACGCGCTCGTCGAGCGGCGATGGAATTCTTTCTTGCATTGAACTTTACATGAGCCTTGGGGCGTCCTTTTTCTTCCTTCCGAGGACTGATCCCTTGACGTGCGTCGGAACTTATGAAGTGTGCGTTGTTTAGTTTTAGCGTTTGGTAATTAATTGATTAATATTTATTTATATTCATTTGTTTATTCCTCTACTTTGTGATTGCTGGGGCAATGGGGAGGTGCTAAACTAGCCTATAGTGTGTAAGTGCGTGTACGTGTGTGCGCCCGCAAGCAAGAGGCTAAGAAGAGCGCAATGCTGTCGGTGCGAAAAGTATCAGAGGTGTCAGCTCCGTCAACATGTAACTGCCTTCTTCCATTCGGATCTGCAAAATATGGGAAGCAACTGGACGTTATTGCCGGATGCTACGAACATGTGAGATCGTCGCATGAATCTATTCATGGGGGATACCGTGGTTTTCTCACCGGTTACGTGTGTGAAGTAAGCGATGAACTTGGAACTTCGTTACATGAGAAGAGTTTGTCGCTGGACACGGTTGCAACAGTGGAATTACCTGGTATTTTTGATCTCACTACTTCTTATGACGGAACTCGCTTGATGGCGAGTTGCACCGACGGCAGTGTGCGTCTCCTAAGTCTTCAAGACGGGTCCTTTAACGGTGCCATTTTCCCCATACACAACACGATGCTGACTAGTTGCAGCCCTTTCTACGCTTCCTCTGAGGTCGGAGTGAGCCAGGACAAGTGGCTCTGCACTGCTCATCAGGGCGCTGTTGTGGTCTATGATCCAGTCACAAAGAATGTTATCAGTACCTTAGAAAAACATGATTACGATGCATGGTGTTCCGCCACTATTGGTCCTGAAACAGCGCTCTCTGGTGGGGATGATGGCCTCCTAAAATGGCGTGATATACGATGTGGTGTAAACGCTGTGGGTCGAATGCAATTTGGGGCCGGAGTTGTGTCGGTTGCTCCTGTCGCTGAAGCTGGAGTTGCATCCACCTACGTCCTAGTCGGATCCTACGATGAGGGGTTGTATCTGGTAGATTCGCGATCACAAAAGCAACCAGTTAGTTCCATTGGGTTGGGTGGTGGGGTGTGGCGCTGCTCGCGTCAGCTGTCTAGCGAAGGATTGCCAACTGCGTCAGAGTCAGCGATGCGTTATCATCGCTGGGTGCAACCGCGCAGCACCCTCGCTATTCCAGTTATGCAGCGTGGAGTGGCGTTTGTCAAGTATAGCCTCGCTGCACCGGAGGAAGACACATTTTCTTTCCTTGGACACCTTCACGACGAAACAGGCACCTCCGAAGTTGCTGGATTGCCCCCAAACGCTCTTTTTTATGATTGCGCCTTCCTGCCTCGAGGATCGCGCCCCAGCCGGGGGCTCTCCGACGATACCGCGTCGGTAGTTACATGTGACTTTTACAATAAAAAGATTGCGCTGTGGGAGGTGTCTGGGCTCCAAGGCGACGCCTAGCATTATATACACACGGGGTTATATGTGTTAACAAAGTAAGACAACTGGAGCAACGGAAAAAAAGAAGAAGAAAAGGGAAATAATAAATAAATAAATAATCCCTATCATTAATCTCTCTTTTTTTTTATTCCTTCCCCTATTGAAAACGTTCGAACCCGCGCAAAGGGTAAGCTTGGTGGGAGGGCTACCCATTGCCAATCCACACCTCCCCACGTGCGAGGCAGGCTACAATTAGCTTTTGACACCTTCGCTTTTTTTTTTTGGGCCTTTGTGAGTTTATGTCGGTGTTTTTGTGCTATGCGCAGAAACTGGAGGCGTTGCCTCAGATGCTTTCTCCTGCTACGGTGCTTTGCGTGAACACAGCCCACCTCTGGTCATAGACGCAAATACGATGGAGCGTACATTGTGCTTTCGTTTCCCCGCGGTCTCGTTTTATTTAGGGAGACGTAAGGCGTAGATTGCTCTCTTCTTCACAAGGAAAAAGAAGGTGGATTGGGGTGAGGTAGGGCTGTTTTTTGTTGTTGGAAGAGGTGGACGGGGATGTCCGCGGGTGCCGGGCGGCGAGGATCGACGAAGCGGCTTCTTATCTTCAGTGTATGTGTGCTGGTGTTTCATGTCTTGACGTCGTTAGTGCAGGAGGCAGTGTTCTACCTTCCCGGCTTTCACCACACACTGCTGCTTACTTGCGCACAGGCGTTGTGCGTATCTTGTTTTGCCTTTGTTATACTCTACTGCTCCCTGCCCGTTGCGTCCGGGTCGCCGTGGCGGCGAATTGTGGACGCGCGCCGCGTGCCACTGCGCACCTACTTCATGATTGCCCTGGCGAACACGCTAAGCGTGTACTTGACGAACGAGGCGTCACGTCTTCTTAGTTTCACTACTCAGGTCGTCTTTAAGTCTGGCAAGCTGCTTGTTGTCTGGCTGATGCGGTACCTTGCCATTGAGCTTCCAGCGCTGCTAAGGGCGTCGCGGACGCCGTTGAAGGGTGCCGAGGGCGCGGTGAAGGGGCAACGGGGCCGTTCACATACCGGAGCGCTTTCTGTTGTAGAGAGTTCGTCAGGGTGCGTCTCTGTGGCCATCGCAGATTCGATGGCGGAGGGGCGGATGCCGTCAAAAGTTGGTTCGTCGCCTCGTCGTGATTGCGGTGGCCACGTCTCCAAGTGCGAGGGTGCGGCCGCTGCTGCTGCTGCCGCGACGACGGCCGGGAACAAGGGCGACGACGTCGCCGTCGTCGTGCACGGGGTTGCCGTGATGGATCACTCCCAGGCCTTGAAGGAGGTGGTGTCGTGCACCACCGTAGTTGTGGGCATTGCCGTCTTCACATACGCCGCGGCGGACGCACGCACGACGAAGAACACGAGGACACAGGAAGGTTGGGGGCCGCTCGTTTCAGGCGTCACAGGCATTTTGTTTGCGCTACTGTGCGATGCACTCATGTACCTGGGTCAGGAGAAGTATTGCTTTATGAAATACGGCGCATCACACGAGGAGGTGCAATTCCACGTATTTCTCTTCTCCTCGATGATTGGCTTTATTTTGCTCGTCCTGAGCGGAGGTTTCCATGACGCCGTGACGTTCTTGGGCATGAACCACATGTTCATTGCCCTGCTGCTTGCCTGTTCCTTGCTTAGCTACAGTGGCACCTTCTTCCTCCTGCGCATCGTCTCTGAGTTCAACAGCAGCACCGCCACCCTCGTCACCAGCATCCGCAAGTCGCTGACGGTGCTGTGCAGCTACATTGTTTACCCGAAGCCGTTCGGGTTTCTCCACATTGTTGGTGTTAGCTTCGTGATGGGCGGCATATGGCAGTACGAGCAGGCGCGCCGGGCGCGCAGCACACCCGTGATGCGGGCTATGGACGACACTGTAATTGCGGAGGAGGAGGCGTGCGTATAGAGCGGCGGCGGCCACCCCCACGTGCTCCTGCGCTTGTTCAGTGTGCGTCTCTTTCCTTGGGCCGCTGCGTACTTCTATGCATCCACGCACTGTGATGTACACTGACGCCCTCTCCGGAGGTTGAACTCCGCCTTGCTAAGCAAGGACAATCAAAAAAAACAAACAAACAACCGAAAGGAAAAACTCTGTAGCTTATTTTCTATTTCCTCCTCCTTTGCGTACCTTGTTACAGCGGTGGGTGGGCTGGAAAGCCCGGTGGGACGGACCCACAGTTTTTGATACATGCATGTGCTGCGTGCATACCACCTTAACATTGGCACACCCGAAGCAGCAGCTCTCCCCAAGGCAATAGTAATTTTATGCCGCCACATTTCTTCTGTCGGGGGGTCGACGTCATGACCTCCCTTTCCGTCTAACGAGGCTGGGGCTGCGGTTGTTTCTCTCCGGCCACCATTTCGTTTGTGTGTATGTGTTTTGTTTGGTTTTTCCTTTTCTGTTTCTTTTTTCTTTTTCTTTTCCCCCTCTCCGTCTCTTGCCTCTTCGCTCCCTTGTTGCCGTAAGTGTGTTCTGCAGTTGTTCTTGTTTTCGTTTCCTGCAATATTCCCCCCTCCCCCTCCCCCGCAAACACACACAGGCTTACTATTACTATTATTATTTTTTCTTCTTTACCAGCCCGCCTGCGCTTTTTGCGTCTCCCGTCAGGGGAGAGCCGTAGGGTATAGGTGGTAGACGTAGCATAGCGACCAGCATCCGGGGGTGGGGGGAGGGAGGGTGGCGCGCCCTGTTCGTGGGGATCGCTTCTTGCAGCCAAACGCGTCGTCGTCGTCGTCATGCCCGTGGCGACTGCGCCGTCGCTGCCCAACCCCGCCGCGCCCCCTGTTGGCAGGCTGGAGGTTAACGCCCCCGCGGCGACGGGGAGCGACGCGGCGACCACGCCAGACGTCGGCGCAAAGACGCCTGCGGAGGGCGGCAACGGCGGCGTCGCCGTGGCGCGTGAGGAGCGAGAGCGGCAAATCAAGCTTGGGCTCTTGGTCGTGCGGCTCGGCGGCGCGAAGGAGAACAACGTCTTTGGGGCCCGCGGGCTGACGGTGCCTCCGCGCGACCTCCTTGTCATCCACCGCCCAGAGGATGACGCGGCGGCGCGGCGACCCTTCAAGTGGTACGACCCGATCTCGTGGTTCCTCAGCGGCCCACGCCCGTCCCCAATGACGTGGAGCGCGTCCTCCGCCGTCAAAAAGTCCTCACCACCGACAGCAGCGGCCTCGGTTGTCGCTGACGCTAGTGTCGCTGCCGCCGTTGCCACCGCCACTGCCGCGACCAGCGCAACCGCGCGGAAGAAGCGCCCACTGCCTCCTGTCGACATGCATCCACTAAAGGATGCCGCTACGCTAGAGCCTGCGGTGGGCGAGGAGCGGGCGAAGCTGCTCAAGGATGAGGCGTCGGTGCACAGTGTCCTGGATAGAATTGAAGAGGCCCGCTACGCCTACCTGGTCCCCTCGCAGGAACTTCGCTGTGAGGCGGAGGTGATGTCAGTCTTGCAGTGCTACATGAACGGCAACGCTGCGGCAGGAGTCCGCGCGGCCGCCGCGGAGGCGCCGTCGCCCACGGCACTTCCAGCGGCGGCGGGTGTGCTGCAGTGTGGGCCTGTTGTGGCGTTGCTGAGGCGGTGCGCGGAGAAGATGGTGGTGTCGTATAGCGAGGCCGACGGCGGCCGCCCGTAGGGGCGGGTGTTGTGTGTGAGGGAGTGCAAGAAGAGGAAGGGCATGCTTGTAATGGGTGCGGCGTAGAGGTGACAGCACGGGAGGCCGCACATGGTGTGAGGACACGACGGCAAAAGGGTGGACGGGGCGGCGGAAGGAAGAGAGGGAAGGGAGAGAAGGGGGGGGGGAGAGGACGGATAGGAGCACACCTTGGTATCGTACGCGGTGTCGGCTGAATTCCTCACTTTGCCAAAGTCTCCCCCTCCCCGTTTTCTCTCTCCCTTTTTTTTTTTTCCTTTTTTGTTGTCTTTTTATTCTACTTTATCTTCTTCTTTCTCCCGTCCTTCAGTTGCCCTTGCCGCTTCTCGGTCCTCTCTGCCTCTGCCGCGCCGGTCGGCGGCGGCGGTGGTGGCCTATCGTTGTTCGTCCCACATGCTTGCCGGTTGCCTGGCGGAGGCAAACGAGCCCGCTCACGTCATCTCCCTTCCCCCGCACACGCACGCACACGCGTGTGGCGCATGCCTGTGCCTTCTCTCTTTGCGTTGCATGCCTTTCTCAACAACAATATATATATATATATATATTCCCTTCTGGGCTAGTATACACTAGGGAACTCCACATTGCTCGCCCGCGGCGTACGTGCGGGGGCGAGGCTGGCGGCAGCGAAGAACATAAGTAACAAACTCGGGAGGAGAGAAGGAGAGATAAAGAAGGGGGAGGGAGGGGGAAAGGAAGGAGGGGGAGGAAAAAGCAAAACGATAAAGAAATGCGCCGGACTGCGTCGCATGCGAAGATTGTGCAGCAGCATGAGCGTCGAAAGTCCTCCCGTGAGGCGAAGGCCTCAGCGGCGCGCTTCGGGTCCAAGCAGAGCCGGTTCCAACTCCGGCAGGAGGAGGTGTACGCGCAGGAGGCCCTGCAGCCGGTGACCTCCCCGGTGCTGCCGGCGGGCCGCCACGGCGGCGGCCGCCCCCCCGCAGAGACGAGCGGCGAGCCACCGGCGACGTTCAGTCGCTTTGAGCGGCCGCCCGCTGCCGCGGAGTCGGGAGGTGCGCGTGGCACGACGGCGACGGCGACCTTCGGACTTGCGCCCCCGCGACGGGCCGGGATGCACGTGGCGGACTCCCGCAGCACGCGGCGCGCGGCGAGGTTTCGGCTTGAGGAGCGTGGCCCGCCGTCGGCGTCGGCGTCGCCGTCGCTGGGCGCGGGGCTGCTCGGCGCCACCCGCCGCACGAGGGACGCCGCCGAAGCCGACGCCGACGCCGCGGACGCCCCGGACGACGACGGTGGACCGCCGCGGAAGAAGACGCGGGAGGAGCGCTTTCGCGAGGTGCTCGCCAGCAGCAAAGAGCACCGCGCCCAGGCGCAGCGGGAGCGTGAGGGGCGGGCGCAGCAAACCACCGCCCTCGACGCGGCCTTCAACGGGGTGATGCACCTGCTGGAGCGTAGGGACAAGGCGCAGGAGGAGCGCGCGGCCTTCGCCCGCGTTGGGACCCCGCAGGTGCGGGCCCTGCTTCAGTCCTTCCGCGAGAACCACGTCGCGAAGACGGTGTCGCTGCGGGGCGACGGCAGCTTCACCGTCGCCCCGCTCGTCGACCGCGGCACGGTGGCCGACGCCGCGCCTGCGCTGGACAAGGCAAGCATGGCGCTGCTGCAGAAGGTTCGCGCGGAGGCGGCTGCGCAGGAGCGGGGCGCCGCGTCGGCACTCGCCCCGCATCCGCCTCTGAAGGCCACGGCGGTGGCGGCGGGCGCCGCGGGGGAAAACCTCGCCGGGGAGGGCGGCAGCGAGGCGGATGACTTTGACCGCATGATGCACGCCATGCGGGGTGAGACGCGCCGCGCGCACGCCGGGGAGCGGACGCTGACGGAGGAGGAGGCGCAGGCGCAGCGCGACCAGCAGGCGCTGCTGCAGACGGACCGTAGTGCCGTGCCGCCGCTCGCGCCGGACGCGACGCAGCTGACGCGTGCGGAGTGGCTGAGCCGCGGTGGCGATCACGCCTACCAGATGCAGGACAGCGACGACGACGACGACGGTGAGGCGGAGGACTCGCTAGACATTTCCTCCGCCGCCGACAGCGACGAGGCGGTGCAGGCGGCGGAGGACGGCGACGAGGAGGTCACCGCCGTGGGAGATGCGGGTAGGAGCGCGGACGCCGCTGCAGGGACGGCGGGGCGCCTGGAGGAGCTTCTCTCCGCAATGGAGGCCTTCAGTCGCGAGGCGGACGGGGCACCTGCCGCGCGCGCCGCACGCAGTCGAGCCTACCACGCCCTGCTGCGCCGCCTGCACCAGTACGCCCGCGAGCACGTGCTGCACACCGCACAGACGTTCCGCCTCCTCCTCATTGAGGCGCAGCGCAGTTTCCTGCGGCACGGCTCACTCGACCGTGCCACGCTGCTGCTCCTGCACGCCACCTCCCGCATCTTCCCCATGACCGATTACCGCCACGAGGTGGCAACGCCCTTCCTCCTCTTTCTCTCCTCTGCGCTGCTGCAGATGCGACTGAGGACGCCCGCGCACGCGCAGGCGTATGCGGTGCTCGCGGGCCTGCTCTGCGAGAGTGTCCTGGCCGGCGGCAAGTACTGCGCGGAGGCCATCATCGCCCCGCTCAACCTCATCGCCCTGCAGGTGCCGCGCTCGGTGTTGGAGCCCGTGCGGCTGCAAGGCCTCTGCGTGCCCTTTCCGCTCGTCGAGCGCGGCGGGGCGGAGGAGCTGCTGCTGCGCACCGGCACGGTCGCCCCTGGCGACGCGGACGCCGCGGCGCCGCTGCAGGCGACCCTTGCCCTGCTCGAGACGGACGCTAGTCCCGCCCGAGTGGTGCGCTATGCCTATCGGCTGCTGTCGCTGCTGGCGGAGGCCCTCCGCGGGGCGCCGGCACTGCCATGCTGCCTGACGGAGCCCTTTTGCGCCCTGCACGCGAGGCTCGTGGCGACCGACGCGTGGCAGCCGTCGGAGTCCGTCCGCGGCGACCACGACGCGCTGCTCGCGAAGCTGACGCAGCTCGCCGCGGAGGCACGCGAACGTCGCACGCCGCTGGCGATGCGCTCCTTTCGCCCACGCCCCATTCGCCAGTTTGAGCCGCTGCTGCAGGAGGGCACGACGACGGCGCTGAAGAATGAGGTGCGGGCGATGAAGCGGGAGATGCGGGAGGACCACAAGCGCGTCGTGCGCCACGTGCAGGCGGAGGCAAACGTCGGACGGCGGCAGCGCGAGCGGGCGGCGGAGGCGGCGGAGTCGCAGCGCGCGCAGAAGTACCGCGAGCTGATGGGGTCGCTGCAGGCGCAACAGCACGTCATGAACACCGTGGACGGGCTCCTCGACAAGGCGAGGTCAAAGAAGCGCAAGAGCATCACAGGCGGTGCCGGCGGCGGTGCCGCGGAGGACACTGCTGAAAACTGAAGAGCCGCTGAGGAGTGATGGGTGCGTGTGCGTGTGTCTTGTGGGCCCCACTCAGTCGAAGAGGCGTGGGGCAAGCGAAAACGAAGTTTAATTCCTTGCCCTTCCGCAGCTTCCTTGAGGTGGAAGTAAAGACCCGTGGCTACGCCGCTGCCGCCGCCGCGCGGGGGTTCGGGCGGGAGGGGCCAGCGGCGGCTCAGCTTTGCCGGCCCTCGTAGGACGAAGAATAAGTGGCGCTGCGACGGCGGCGGTGGCGGAGGAGGCAGTATAATGAGTGAAGCGATCAAACAAACAAGCAAAAGGAAAAAAAAAGAAAAAGAATGAAAGACGTTGTCTAAATACCTTTTCGTGTAACCGTGATCGGAGGCAGTGACACTGGTGTTCAGCGCGAGATCGACGCCATTGTGAAGTGTCCCTCTCTCTCTCTGTGTGTGTGTGTTTGTGTGTGCCACGTCATTTCTTCTTCCGCGTCTTTGCATGATTCCTTTTTCTTTGTGTGTTGTGTTTCTTTTTTGATTCTTCTTTTTCGTCCCTTGCGTGGGCCACGCGTGTCACGCGCACGCACGCGATGCCCCCTCTCAGCGGGAGAGGCAGGAGGGGGAGGGGGCGGGCAGATGCAGGAGGTGACGATCTACGCGACGGCGATGCAGGCGGTCCGGCGCACGGCCGACGACTGCCGCCGGACGTTGGCGCTGCTTGACGCCTTTGGCGTGGCCGTCTCCGTCGTGCTTGTCGACTCGCCGGAGCTGCGGGCGTTTGTGCAGGAGCTGCTGGCGAAGCAGGCGGCCATCGGGTGGCGGCTGCAGCACGGCCTCGGCCCCGCCCCGCCGCTTCAGCTGCCGCTCTGCTTCGTCGGCCCGGTGCTGGTGGGCACCCACGACGAGCTGGCGGAGCTCAACGAGGCGGGCACGCTGCCGCAGTCGCTGCGCGCCGCAGGCTACGGCGGAAGTTTCCGGGCCGCCGCCCACAACGAGATATCTGTGGGCAACGCTGCGACACCCGCGGCGGCGGCTGCTGCTGCTGCGCCTCCGGACGCTGGGGGAGGCGCCACCACCACCGCCAACGGCAGCGGCGACGACGGCGATGGGGAGGAGGAGGAGGAGCCGCCGCCGCCGCCGCCGCCTGACTCCGAAGAGGAGGCGGAGGCGGAGGGAGCCGACAGTGCCCTGCACAGCGGCGCCCTGGACGACGATGACGAGGAACCGCCGCCGCCGCCGCCGCCGCTGCCTGAAGACGAGGAGGAGGATGAGGAAGACGCCCCGCCACCATCGCCCCCGCCGGAGGACTGAGCGGCGCTATCGACACCCAACAACACGAGCAGACACACAAACTTCTCCCTGCGGCCACGGGCGGCATGCGGCTGGGTTGACTTGATGCCGCCGGCCAAAGGAAGAAAACAAGTAAGGCACCGCGCGGTCTCGCTCTCTCGCTTCCTCCCCTGTCTGTGTGGTTTGTCATCTCTGTTTCGCAGCCTGCGCCCCCCTCCCACGGCTCACCATAGTTGCTAATGCCGCCTCCTTTTCCTCTTCTCGTTTACTGCCTCGTTTCCCCCACGCACACTGCCTCCAATGGGCACGTTGCGTCGCCCCCCCCACACGGTCGTTCTTCGCGCGTTGCGCCGAGACGTGGAGCAGCAGAACAGCGGGCTGAAAGGGGGGTGGCGGGTTTGGCGCTTTACAGCTGAGGTAATCCATGAGCGCCACGGCATCGATAGTGTCACAAGGGCCGCTGCAGTCGCAGCAGCAGCAGCAGCAAAGGCCCTCCGTCTTTGCGAAGTTGTTCAAGGGCCACGCAGGCGCGGCGACAATGGCGGGCGTGCTGGAGATTGCCTTCTTCCACCCCTTTGACACCGTTGCGAAGCGGCTCATAACCAGCCGCACCCGCATCTGGGCTGCCTCCCTCGAAGGCACGCTGCGAAACCTGAACACCACCATCTTCCGCTCCAAGGCGGACGCCAGCGTGGCACAAAAGTTCCTCTACCTGTACCCCGGCTCGACCTACGCCGTCTGCTACAAGATCCTGCAGCGGGTGTACAAGTTTGCGGGGCAGCCCTTGGTGCGGGACCACCTGCTCACCCACAACAAGGAAACCTTCACGGCGCTCTTTGGCCGTCGTGACAGGCTGATGATGGAGTCCGTCTCCGGCTGCATTGTGGGCCTTGGCGAGGTCGTTTTACTGCCGCTGGACCGCCTGAAGGTGCTGAGCCAGACGAACGAGGCTGTCATGCGGCACGGCGTGGCCCAGCTGCTGCGGCAGGAGGGCATTCGTGGCATGTACGCCGGCACCGTCGTCACCATGGCGCGCAACGCCCCCGGCTCCTTCTGCCTCTTTGGTGGCACCGCCTTCACGAAGGACGTTGTTTTTGGCCTGGAAGACTACCGCCGGGCGACGCTGTTTCAGAACCTGTGCGCCTCCACCGTGGGCGCCTGCCTCAGCATCGCAGTGACAAACCCTATGGACGTCATAAAGATCCGCGTGCAGAACAAGGACCCTGGCGCCCAGCTGAGCGCCGTATCGGCCTTCTCGCAGCTGCTGCGGGAGGAGGGCGCCTCCGCGCTGTTCAAGGGCCTCACCCCGAAGGTGATCGCCTCCGCCCCGAAGCTGATCTTCGCGTACAGCATGACGGAGTTTTTTTTGCAGCTGATGAACGCCAAGCCGGCCTCGGCGAAGGCCGCGTAGGCGTGCATCACCACCGCCTCCCTGCGGTGAAGCCTCAACCCAGACGAGAGGCGACGCCCCTGCCTGCTGGAGGGCGCGGTGTTGGCGGCGTGCCTGTGTGTGTGTGTGTGTGTATTTGCCTCAGCGGCGGAAGCGGCACCCACGTCAGCGCTACGGGCTGGACTTGGGCCCTTCCTCCTAGAACACGCGCACACACACACACACACAACAATAACAACAACAACAACAACAACAACAACAGGCGCAGAAAAACAGCGAATGTTTTCAGTGGCAGCGGTGGGGGCGGCCCGGGCGGGAAATGTGTGTTGCCGGCGGTAACAGGGCGGGAGGAGGAGGAGGTAGAAGAAAAGGCAACAAAAAAGAGAAGAAAAGAGGAAGAGAGAAGAAAGTAAAAAAGAAAAGGTAAAATTGGGGAAGTATTACACATACGGCGCCCATAAGGGAGATTTTTTTTGTTCTTGTTTTTATCACTGGGATCTTGTATTGGCGGCGTGCGTGAAGTGGCGGCGGTTGTTGTTGATGTTGGTGTTGGGGGGGGGGGACAAGCGACGACGAGGCGCTAATACGGAATTCCACAGGAGGAAGAGGAGGAGGAGGAGGAGGGTGCGGGGAGCTGCAAGGGGCGGAAGTCATGCTTCTGCATTCCCTCGTGGCGTGCAGCGCTTCTTCTCCCGCTGGACTGCGTGGGGGAAGGGGGGGGGTCGATTCTGCTGCTGCCTCTTCTGCCCTTGGCGGCGTTTTGCTTTTTCTTTCGGCATCGCGGTTGTAGGTTGTAGGTTGTGTGTGTGCGTGTGTGTTTGTTGGCTCTGCCGCTTGCTTTTGCCGGCCGCGGCCGCACTAGGCAGGCGACTTACTTTTAGTGTGAGTGTGTGTGTGTGTGCCTTCTTGCTGTTTGGGCCGCCCCTCGTTTTTCCAATTCGCGACGGCGGCGACTGCGGCGGGCCGCGGGAGGAGGAGCAGAAGGAGAAGGAGGGCACAGACGCGATGGCGCGGCCGCGGCACGGCAATCACCGCGACGAGCACGCCCGCCTTCTGGCGGAGCACGTGGAGCTGCTGGAGTCGAGCGTGCGCGAGCAGCTGGGGCCGCTGGCGGGTTCGCTCGTGCGCGCGCTCAACCGCCACGGCGCCCTGACGCTGCGGGAGCTCGCCGACGCCGTGAAGCGGGAGCCGTTTGGCAACCCGCTCAGCACCGGCGACGCGGCGCGGCACGTGGGGTGCCCGCTTGCCGTTCCCGCGCCGGCGGGGGAGGTGGGCACGGACGCGGCCATCAAGGAGCTCATGGCACGGCTTGTCCTGCACCGCGTCGTGTGCTACGACGCGGAGCGCCACGTGTACGGCGTGGCACTCGGCTACGGCCTGCTGCTGCGCACCCTCTTTCCGCTTGTCCTGCGCTTCTTCCAGCGCCGCTACGGCGAGACGGGTGTGACGCTGCTGATGGTGTTCCACCAGCTGGCGACGGTGCCGTGGGAGGCGGCGCTGCGGCTCGCGACGGAGCGTCGGCCGGCACTCAGCGAGGCCCTGCGGCACTGCGCGCGGGAGATGGAGCGGCTCGGCCTCGTTGAATTCGTCTCCGCGGGGCGAGGCGGCGTGGAGGAGGCGGCGGCGGCGCCGACGGCGACCCTCTCACCGGACCCCTGCCGCCTGCACGTCGGCAACATCCTCGCCGAGATGCTGCACGACGCCATTCAGCACCAGCTGCTCGCCGAGCGCTTCGCCGACGGCGGCGTGGCGGCTGCCGTGGTGGAGGCCTTCACGACGGCGGGGCGGGGCCGCCGCCTGGAGGAGCGCGCGCCCGGCTTTCCGCCGGTGCACCCCCGCACCAGCGTCTCTCTGCCGCTGCGGGTGCTGCTGCGGGAGGTCCCGCTGGCGGAGGCCGCCGTCGTGGCGACGGTGAGCCGCATGTGCCGCCCGGACGGGGAGGCGCTGTTGAGCAACGACGGCACCGCCGCAGTGGCGGTTGAGGGCCCCTACCGCTTCCGCTACGACGCCGCCATAGAGGCGATGCAGCGGGACTGCTGCGAGCGGCTGGTGTTTGCGCGGCACGGGGTGCTGGGGGTGCGGCTGACGAAGCTGCTGCTGCAGCACCACAACATGGAGGACCGCATGCTCGCGGAGGAGGCCATCGCCACGCTGCCCCGCACCCGTGAGGTGCTGCACGCCATGCTGCGCGACGGCTACGTGCGCCAGCAGGAGGTGCCGAAGAGCGGCGTGATGGCGGACCGGCAACCGAAGAACTCCGTGTTCCTGTGGGGCTGCAGCCTGGAGAAGGACCTGCTCCCCGCCGTCCGCGCGCAGGTGGCCAAGGCCCTCCGCATTACGCTTGCGCGGCTCTCGCAGGAGCGGAAAGCCGCGGCGAACGAGGCGGCGTCGTTCACGGCGGCGGCGGCGGCGGCGGCGAGTGGCGTTGCTGGCGCCGCCCCCGGCGCTGCGGAGAGCGAGGCGGCGTGCCCCGCACCGGCGGCCGGCGTGCGAAGGGCCACCGGGGAGGTGACGGCCGAGACGCTGCGGTCGCTGCGCGCGGTGGCGGCGTTGGAGAGCTCCGCCTCCGCGCTGATGGGGACGATGCTGGTGCTTGACTTTTACTGAAGCGAGGGCAACGCAGGGCAGTAGCGGACGCCGGCAAAACGCTCCGCCTCTCTGCGAGGAGGAGACGCATAAGTCATTTCTACTTTCTTCTGTAGGGGGTGGGGGCTTCGGGGCTGCGCGTGCCGTGTCTTCCCCCCTCCCCTCTTTTTTTTTCCCCCCTCGCTGTGGGCGTTTGCTGCCGGGTGGGCGGGGGCTGCGGTGTTGCCTGCGCCTCACGCCTCATGCTGCGTCTTCTCTCCCCCTCGGCTTTTTCTCCCCTTTTTCGTTTGGGGTTTCCCCCACCGCACCCCACCGCGCAGCTTAGAGCGGCTGAAGCACGCACGCGAAGCCACGGGACCCCCGCAGTTCCACTCCCTCTCCTTCGTTCTTTTTTTTCCCTTCTCTTTCCTTCTCTCTCTGTGTGTGTGTGTGTGTGGGGGGGGTGCTTTAGGCGACCTCACACCCCCTCTTTTGTCGTTGTCGTTGTTGTTTTTTTTGCCTTCGCGGGGGCGATGCGGGCTCCGGAGCGGCCGAACAGCAACGCCGCCGTGCGGGAGGACATTTTTGCGCAGCTGAGGTCCATCAAGTCCGCCGGAAGGCGGAGGCGCACCTCGCCCGAGCGGCAACTGCAGCTGCCGCCACCGCTGCACACGCCGTCGTTGGCGCAGCAGAACGCCCGAAACTCGCCGGTGCGTGAGAGCGGCGGGCAGGCGCGCCGGGCCAACGCGGGCCACGCCCCTGCGCCGCTGAGCCCGCACACCCGACGGCTGCCGCCGCTCTTTGCGGAGCAGCGGCGGAACGTCGCCAGCATTCGCACGGTGTGCACCGGCCTAGGCGACATCCTGCAGCAGCTGGACGTCGACTTTGCGCGGGTGGGCGTGTCGCTCCCTTCCCCGACGGCGGCGGTGGACGGGGCGGTGACGTCCGACATGCCGGGGGCGGCGACCATGCAGCTGCTGCAGCGCCGTGCGCGGCGGGAGTTCCTCTCGCGGCTGCAGCAGGCGCCGCCGGGGCAGCGGCAGAGCCTCGTGGAGGAGGACGCGCGGGCCTCGAGCCTCACGGAGGAGGTGCAGGACGAGATCAACCGCGCCCGGCTCGCGGCGGCCGACGAGGGGCTGAGCGACGAGCAGTCGGTCAGCGATTACGCGGAGGAGCCGGATCTGCCGCGCTTTGCGCCTGGCGCCCGGCTGCGGGATGAGGTGGAGGCGATGGAGCCCTCGCTGCGCAAGATCAGCGAGTGCGTCGCCGCCATGGCGGCCATCGAGGAGTGCGACGCCGGTAACCCCTGGTGGGACTCCGCGATGCGGACGCGGGAGATGAAGGCCACCGGCATCCGCGCCAACTACCACGCGCGCTGCATCCTCCGGTGGAACCAGCGCGCCCGCGAGCACTTCCTGGTCGAGGCCGTCTCCTCCAACGACCAGATGGCGCGGTGCCGCAGCGACATGCTGTACCTCCGCGAGCAGCAGGGGCTCTTTCAGCAGCGCATCAACCAGTCGCAGCAGGAGCAGGCCGACGGCGTCGAGGAGATGAAGACGCTGCAGGAGCAACTCTACGAGCTCAGCCACACAAAGGGCGAGCTGCAGCAGAAGCTCGTGGCGGCGGCGCAAGAGCGGCGGCTGCTGCCGGACAACTGCGAGGACGCCACTCTGGCGGAGTTGCTGCTGCTGCTCGACCACGTCAACTGGCCGGCGGCGGTGCAGCCGGACGCCGACCGCGTGAAGGAGTGGGTGCGCGAGAACGCCATCCCGCTGGATGTATAGACGCGCGACCACCTGCCGAAGCACCCCGTGTGCCTCTTTGTGTGTATGTGTGTGTGTGTGTGGCCATTCCCTCTTCCTCGGTCCATCTGCCTTGCATACATGTATATCTACAGTATAGATGTGTATAGCCGTTATTCCTTCCTAGTCCCTCTCTGTCGTTATTTGTTGTTGTTGTTTTTTTTTCTTTTTTCTCTCTTCCATTTACTACTATTATTATTATTGTCTTATTGCCGCCGCACGCACTCCCGTCAGCCGTGTTTGCGACGACGCCGGGGGGTGGGTGGTGGGGAAAAGCCCCGTAGAGGCACACACACACACACACACACACACACACACACGCACAGGCAGAGGGAGCGGGGGCGGTTGCGCGCTGGGTGGCGAAATGGCGAGTTCCTCCTCGTCGGCGGTGACGGGGGAGCCGCCGGGGCCGGTCGGGGAGCCGACCGCCGACGTGGGCACCTTCAACGAGATCCGCAGCGACAACCGCAACTTCGACTACTACCAGCGGCAGTTTCAAGAGGTGCTGATGGGGCTGGAGAACGACGAGGTGCTGGAGGCCTTCCGCGTGGAGTACGCCGCGCTGCACCACTCCTTCCTGAAGAGCCACGACGGCGAGACGCGGCTGCTGAAGAAGTGCGCGGAGCTGCAGGCCGACATCGAGGCGTGCGTGATGAAGGTGCAGGCGGCGGAGGAGCTGACGCGGGGCGACAAGACCACCATCGAGGCGCTCAAGGTGGAGATCGAGAAGACGCGCAAGAACGCCGTCGCGACGCGGGAGCGGGAGGCGCTGCTGAAGGACAAAGTGAACAGCCTCAAGCGGGAGCTGAGCGAAATCGAGGAGCGCGTCCACCGGCCGGTGGAGGCGACGGCGCAGGAGGCGGCGCTGCAAAGCCTCGTCCGCGCCCACGAGACGGTGCTGAAGGAGAAGGAGACGATGGAGTACCAGCTGGCGGCGCTGCGGCAGGAGTTCGCCTGCACCGCGCGGCGGCTGGAGCGCGTGCTGGAGGTGCGCCGCAGCCGCGACGCGGAGCTGCGGGCCGTGACGGAAGCGACGGAGGAGAAGCTGCGGGAGGTGGAGGCGCAGAAGGCGGTGCGGCTGCGGCGGGAGGAGGAGCTGCGGCTGACGCGGGAGGAGATCGCCCGCCGCGTCGTCGCCGCGCAGGAGCGGCAGACGGTGATTGAGCGGCTCAGCCAGGACAACGCCCGCCACGACGTGGAGATCAAACTCACCCTCGACGAGACGGCCCGGCTGACGGAGTCCTACCAGCAGCTCTCGCGGCAGCTGCAGAACGTGAACCGCACGTGTCAGTCCCGCAACGAGGAGAACGACGCGCTGCAGCGGCGCATGAACGAGCTGATGGAGGAGCTGAAGCTGAAGGAGTCGGCGGCGGACAGCGTGAGCCGGGCGCACCGGCGGGAGCTGAAGCTCTTAGACGCCGCCGCGCGGCGCACCGCGGCGATGGAGGGGCGGCGCGCGGAAGCCGAGGCCGCCCGCGCCGCGCTGCACGCGGAGCTGGCGCTGCTGGAGGACGACTTCGAGGCCGCCACGCGGGCCGCCGAGGCCGACGAGCGACGCGTCTCGGCGCAGGTGCGGGAGCTCGACCTGCTCCACGACAACGTCCTCGGCGCGGCGGCGAAGGCGCAGCAGCAGAGCCTGTGGCTCGCGGAGCAGCGCACGGAGGCGTACCACCTCGAGCACGAGTTGCGCTCCTACGAGGAGCAGGCGCAGCGGCAGAACGAGGTGATCTACAAGCTCTCCCGCGAGTGCGCCGGGTACGAGGAGAACATGAAGCTCGCCACCCTGCAGTGCGCCCGCATCATGGCGGAGGTGCAGGACCGCGAGGTGCAGCTGGGCGTCGCCCTCGACGAGGTGAAGGACGTGGAGGCGCGGATACGACAGCAGCAGGCCCTGCTGGAGGCCGTCCTCAGCGAGCGGAAGACGTACTCCAAGCACTACGCGCAGATTCGCGGCGGGGTGACGGAGATGGTGCGCGGCTTCAGGCTCATGCTGGCGCAGATCAAGCAGATGCAGGAGGAGGTGCAGCGCCGCGAGCGACGGCTGGTCGCCGAGGACGGCGGCATCGACGCCCTCGTGAAGCAGCGGCGGAAGCTGGAGGCGCAGATCGCCGCCCTCCACCTGCGCATCGACAAGCGCGGTCGGTCGGTGCAGCAGTACTCGCAGGAGGTGCGCCGCCTCGGCGACGTCTTTGCCGAGGGCGAGGACGAGGTGGGCCGCCAGCGACGCCGCTTCCGCGACGTGCAGAAGGAGCGCGACTTCCTCGACAACCAGGTGTACACCTCCAACGAGGAGCTGGCGCGGCTGTACGAGAAGGCGCGGGTGCAGCAGTCGCTGCTGCAGCGGGGCGAGTCGATCTGCGCGGAGCGGCTGCAGACCGTCAACGAACTCCACCACCGCATCGCGCAGCTGACGGAGGAGGTGGGGCGGCTGCGGCTCTTCGTGCAGCGCCTGCCGGAGCTGCGGCGCCTCGTCAACGGCGCCTCACGGGAGCTGGTGCGGGAGCAGAACCGCGTGCGGGCGCTGCTGCACGAGTGCGAGCGGCCGATGAACCTGCACCCGAACCACCAGCTCGCCTCCTCGGACCCGGAGGCGTACGCCCTGACGGCGCGGGTAGGCGCGCTGCAGCGGGAGCTCGTCGCGCGGCGCACGGAGCTGACGGAGAAGGAGCAGCGCATCAAGCAGCAGGAGGCGTCGTACCTGCAGTGCAAGGCGGCCGTGGCGCGCCAGCTCGGGCCGGAGATAGCGGAGCAGGTCGCCCTCTACCAGGGCAACCTCGCAAAGAAGGCGGGGCAGATGCGGGCGATGGTGGCGAGCCTCAAGTACTTCCGCGAGCAGACGGAGCTCTACCAGGCCCGCTACAACGAGCTCCGCGACACGCTGGACGGACTCGCTGAGAAGTACGCCGAGACCCGGCAGCAGCGCGACCGAGAGGCGCGACGCGAGGCGTCCGGAGGGGGCGGCTGCGGCGCCGCGGCGCCGCTGCGGCAGCCCGAGCAGCCGCAGGAGTACGTGGGGTACGTCGCCCCGCCACGCGGCGGCGACCACGCCGCAGACGCGGCCCACGATGCCCCCAGCAGCGGCGGCAGCGGCAGCCCCCACCGCGAGGAGGAGGGCGGCCCCGGCGAGGAGGCGGGGGACGGCGGGGCGGAGCCTCCCGCGTGAGACGCGTGGTTTTCAATGTACAGTGCCCGGAACAAAGGAGACGGCGCCGCGGTGCGCGGGGCCCGTTTGTGCCGTCGGCATCCTCTCCGTCGGTATATATATATATATATACATAGGCGTGTGCGTGTGAGAGAGAGGGAGAGAGTGCGTGAGTGTGTGCATGGGCGTGGGGCCAGCGACGCCTGCTCCCGCAGCCGCAGGGCGACAGGCGTTGCAAACCGCGCCGGGGGGGGTGCGCCTGCTCTCTCCACCTCCCACTGCGGGTTCTTTCCCTGCACGCTTCAAACCCCCCACTTCTTCCTTTTCTCTCTTTTTTGTTTTTGTTTTGTCTTTGCCCCCCGCGCGCTGCCACCGTCGGTGGCGCGTGCATTCGCCGACGTGGGGGAGGGCACAAACGCAGAAAAGGGCACAGCGGGCAGGATACACACATACACACAGCGCTATCTACAACAATCTATAAAAGGCGGAGCAGGCATCAAAAACAGCGGCAGCAACAGCGCCATATCTATCAATCTATCAGCATATATATATATATATATCTGTCTATATCCGTAGCCATATAATAAAGCAACAACAACAACAAATAGACGCAAGTATGATGCGTCGACTGACTTGTTGCGGTGGGGTGGCGGCGGGGGCTCTGCTGCGGTGGCGTGCGCCGGCGGCGGTGCTTTCGTCGCCCGCGATGACGACGACGACGACGCCTGCGGCGGCGCTGTGGGGCTTGCAGCGGCGCCTCCAATCGAGTGTCTCTCCGTGGAGCGGCGGTGGCGGCGGCAGCGGCAGCGGCAGCGGCGGGAACAGCGGCGGGAACAGCGGTGGCGACCAGCAGCAGGGGCGCGCCTGGGTGAACCCGCAGGCGGTGCCCCCCGGCGAGTTCCTGAACAAGTACGCCCGCAACCTCACTGAAGAGGCCCGCATGGGCCGCCTCGACCCCATCATCGGCCGCGAGGAGATCATCCGGCGCACGATCCAAGTCCTAAGCCGTCGCACCAAGAACAACCCGGTGCTCATTGGCGAGCCCGGCGTGGGGAAGACGGCCATCGTGGAGGGGCTGGCGCAGCGCATCGTGAGCGGGGAGGTGCCGGAGAGCATCAAGGAAAAGAAGGTCTTCGCCCTCGACATGGGCTCCCTCGTCGCTGGGGCGAAGTACCGCGGCGAGTTTGAGGAGCGGCTGAAGGGGGTGCTGAAGGACACCATCGACGCGCAGGGCAAAATCATCCTCTTCATTGACGAGCTGCACACCCTCGTCGGGGCGGGCGCCTCCGGCGACGGCTCCATGGACGCAGCGAACCTGCTGAAGCCGTCCCTCGCCCGCGGGGAGCTGCACTGCGTGGGGGCGACTACCCTCGACGAGTACCGCCGCCACATCGAGAAGGACGCCGCCCTCGCCCGCCGCTTCCAGTCGGTGCTGGTGACGGAGCCGACGGTGGAGGAGACGATCTCCGTGCTGCGCGGCATCAAGGAGAAGTACGAGGCGCACCACGGCTGCCTGATCAAGGACGAGGCGCTCGTCTACGCGGCGGTGAACTCGCACCGCTACCTCTCCGACCGGCGGCTGCCGGACAAGGCCATCGACCTCATCGACGAGGCCGCCAGCCGGCTGCGGCTGCAGCAGGAGTCGAAGCCGGAGCAGCTAGACGGGGTCGAGCGGGAGCTGGTGCGGCTGAAGATCGAGGTGGAGGCGGTGAAGAAAGACAAGGACGAGCTCGGCAAGGCGAAGCTGGAGCAGCTCTACGCCCGCATTGAGGAGCGGCAGAAGGAGTACGACGCGCTGGAGGTGCGCTGGAAGAAGGAGAAGGCCATGTTTGAGCGCATCAAGCGGCGGACGGAGGACCTGGACGTGCTGCGCTACCAGTACGAGCAGGCCCGCACGGAGGGCGACTTCGCCAAGGCGTCCGAGATCCTGCACGGCCGCATCCCGGCGCTGAAGAAGGAGATCGAGGCGGACAAGCTCGCGACGAAGACGGAGGGCTTCCTCACCCACGACTCCGTCACGGCAACCGACATTGCGCAGGTGATTGCCCGCGCCACCGGCATCCCGGTGGCGAAGCTCTTGACGGGCGAGCGCGACAAGCTCATTCACATGGACACCGAGCTGCGCCGCCGCATTCTCGGGCAGGATGAGGCGATCGAGTCCATCACCAACGTCGTGCGCATCTCGCGCGCCGCGCTGCACTCGCACAAGCGCCCCCTCGGCTCCTTCCTCTTCCTCGGCCCCACCGGCGTCGGCAAGACGGAGGTGTGCAAGCAGCTCGCCAAGTTCCTCTTCGACGACGAGTCCTTCATCTGCCGCATTGACATGAGCGAGTACATGGAGCGGCACACCGTGCACCGCCTCATCGGGGCCCCGCCGGGGTACGTCGGCTACGAGGAGGGCGGCGAGCTGACGGAGTCGGTGCGGCGGCGGCCGTACCAAATCGTCCTCTTCGACGAGTTCGAGAAGGCGCACCCGAGCGTGTCGAACATCCTGTTGCAGGTGCTCGACGAGGGGCACCTCACCGACAGCCACGGCCGCCGCGTCGACTTCAAGAACACCATCATCATCCTCACCTCGAACATCGGCGCGGACGTGATCGCGGGGCTGCCGGAGGGGGAGCCCTCCTCGCGGGCGATGCCGCAGGTGATGCGGATGGTGCAGCAGCGCATGACCCCGGAGTTCATCAACCGGCTGGACGACATCATCATGTTCAACCGCCTCGGCCGCAAGGAGACCCGCAAGATCGTGGAGCTGCTCTTCGAGCAGGTGCGGACGATGCTGCGGGAGCAGGAGATCACGCTGGAGACGACCACGCAGGTCTACGACTGGTTCGGCGAGCACGGCTACAGCCCGGTGTACGGCGCCCGCCCGCTCAAGCGGCTCGTGCAGTCCGTCCTGCTCAACCGCCTTGCGCTGATGCTCCTCGACGGCCGCGTGCGGGAGAAGGAGACGGTGCGGGTGGAGATGCGCGGGAGCGAGGTGTACGTCGTGCCGAACCACGACGCCGTCAGCTCCAGCAGCGGCGGCGCCGCCGACGACATCGGCCTCATCGCGTAGTCCCCCCGCCCGGCGCCGTGCAGCCGAACCCCCAGCGTCCCTGAGAGACGTGTGCTCTGCTTTTTTTTTTCGTTGGTTGTTTTTGCTTTGGGCTCTGCGGCCGGCCCCACCCCTGCCGCTGCGACTGCGACGCCTCAGGGCCTTGCAGAGGGGGGCGTGCAGGCAGCAGCAACAACAGCAACGAAAAGAAAAGAAAAGAAAAACAAAAAGGAAAGTAAAAAAAAAGGCGAAGCAAAAAGGAAAACGGAAAGCGAGAAGGCAATAAGCGGCCACAGACAGACAGAGAGAGAGACAGACTGACAGGGAGAGAGAGAGAGAGAGAGAGAAAGAAAACAACAACAACAACATAAAACCACACAACTGACACGTCAATGGCTCTGCTTGTCTCTTTTTTTTCTTCTTCTTATTTTTACTTCTTGTGTGCTTTACTGGACAGAGGGAGGGATAGGGAGGGAGCTCTCTCTCTCTCTCTCTCTTCTTCTTTGTTTTGTTTTTTTGTTTTCGCCTTCTCCAGTCGTCCTCACCATTCCTGTTTTACTACTACTCCCACTGCAGCTGCCGCTGCCGCGACTACTACTACTACTACTACTATTCTTGTTGTTACTATTATTGTTATTGTTACTGTTGCCTTTGGCGTCGTGTTTCACCCCCCCGCTCCCTCCATTGGCCCCGCACCACAGTGGGCGAGGTTCCGTGCGTTGGCGCCGCTGTCGCGGCCCTGTCTCTCCTCCCTTCTCTCCCTTCTCTCCATTCTCTCTCTCTCTCTCTCCCTTCCTTCTCTTTCGCTCTCTCTGTCGCCGCGGAGGTCCCTTCGGCCACCGACGGCCCCCTGCGCTCGGCGACGCGGGCGATGGAGCGGCGCCCCGACGCCGCCGCCGCCGCCGTCTTCCCCACTTCGCCGCCCGACGCGGACGAACAGTTGACGCTCCTCGCCGCGCTGCGTGACGCCCGGCGGCGGGCGCACGCGCTGCTGCGGCGCACAGAAACGATGCTGCGGCAGACCGCAGAGGCCAAGTGGGCGTGCGCGTGGGTCGCCTCGGCGTAGCGGCGGGTCCCCTCGCCTCACTGCCGGCGCCGGCGCCGCTGTGCCGTCCGTCCCCTTTTTGTTCTTCTCTTCTTCGCCTCTTTCTCCGTATATATATATATATTAGTTTTATGCTTTATTTATTGTTTATTTATTATTATTGTTTTTCTTCACGTTTGCGGGGACGCCGAAGCGACGGGCGGACAGCAGCAAGAGCAACACGAACATGAGTTATGTACTTATATATATATGCATATATGTGTGGCCTGCCCACTTTGGCTGCGTGGCGGACTCGCTGCCGTCCTCTTTGCGTGCCCCTTCGTTCGCCTCTTCCTTTTTTCTTTCCTTTTGTGTTTCCTTGCCTCTATCTCTCTCTCTCTGTCTCTCTGGCTCTCAGTGTGGTTTCACCGCCCGCGCCCTCGGCGGAGAGGAGTGGCGTTGCACACACGCACACGCCCCCTACACCACCGTGCGGCGTCCGGGGATATTGCTGGGCGGGCCGCTTAGAATGAAGCTCCGGCGCTTCCGCCCGCGTGCCGCGGGGGGTCGTGCGATGCTCCGGCGAAGGGTTTTTCTCCTCCCCCTCCTGCTGCTGTGCCTCCTGCTCTGCCTCTTCCTCCTCGTGCGTCTGCTGCCGGCGGAGGCGGGGATGGACCTCCACGGCATGCCCCTCTCCATCCCCGCCGGAGGCAGCACCAGCAGCCTGACGGTGGTCGTGACGGAGCTGCGGGCGTCCGCCGCGTCCGCGGAGGCGGGTTCGCGGCTCGAGCAGGCGCTGCGGCGGCGGGAGTGGTGCACGCCTGCGTCGCCGACCCAAAGTGTGACGCTCGTGCTGGTCTTCTACGCCCCGCCGGAGCCCCCGCAGTGGCCCCGCAGCCTCCCGGTGCGGTGCGTCGCGTGCGGCAAGAGCGACCCCTGGCACACCTGGACTGTCGGCCTCGCCGGCTCGCAAACCCGCGCAAAGCTGGGCGTGGCGCCGTGCGTGACGGGGGCCCACGTCGTCTTCGCCCACAAGGCGGAGGCGGCCACCAAAGTGAACTACGGCGTCGTCCCGGCGATGGTGCAGGCGGCGTTGGGGGCGGTGCCGCGGACCGACTACTTTCTCCTCATGGCGGACGTTGTGCTGCCCGCGGCGGACGACTTTATGCAAAAACTGCTGCAACCGCTGCAGCAGAACGCTGGGCGCGTGGCGGCGGTGCAGTGCACCCTGCTGCAGCGGCGCGGGGGGCGGACGCAGGGGAGCGGCGAACACGGGGGGGGCGCTGCCCTACTCCGACCACCGCGTCGTGGACAGGGGCGTCTTCGTGGGGCTGGGCGTGCTGAAAGAGAAGCAGCTGCTGCTGCCGTACCTCGCACGGCGGTTCAACGGCAACGCCGCCTCGGACACGCGGGTGTCGGAGCCGGAGGTGGTCGACGCCGTCTCGCCCTTCTGCACGCTTTACCACCGCGCCGCGTTCGACGCCGTTGGCGGGTTTGCCGACATCACCCCCGGCGACGTCCCGAGCGCGTCCTCCGCACCCGACGTCGCCGGCTGGGACCAGAGCATTCGCCTGCAGCGGGCACACACGAGTTGGCAGGTGTGGAGCAGCGGGGCGATTGGGGTCCTCGACGCCCGCGTCTCCCTTCCGGCCCAGGCGATGAGCCTGATGAGCAAGCCGGTCTTCCCCGCCGCCGACAGCTGGGGGGAGAGGCACTTTGAGGCCCTGCAGCGGCTGCACAACCGCCGCTTCGCCACCCCCCACCGCAGCCGTGGCCTGGAGCTCTCCGCCAGTGACAAGCCGCTGGCGCCGCTGATCTTCTATGCCCGCGACTACTCCTGCTCTTGCTGTGGGCTGATGCGGGAGGCGAACGGTTACCTGCGTCCGCTGACGGAGCGGTACGGGGTGTCGCTTACGGCCCCCGTGCACCACGGCTTCTGCTCCAGTGCGGTGGGGTCGGAGTTGGCCTCGCTTGAGCTCACCGACGAAATTCACGTGGAGCGGTTGTTCTCGCCCCTCCCCAGCGGCTCTGCCTGGCGGGCGGCGTACAAGCGGCGGCGCAAGATTCTCGTGATGCACATGCGCGCACACAGCTACCGCTGGGAGCGTAAAGAGTGGTCGCACAAGGCGGACTACTTTATTGGCAGAAGCCTCAGCGAGTTTTCCCGCATCCCCGAGAACTGGGCGGAAGGGATGCGGCGGTACCCCGACGAGGTGTGGGCAACCGGCGAATTTTTTAGCGCCGTCTACCGCCGCTCGGGGGTGGCGGCGGCGAAGATCCAGGTGGTTCCCGAGGCCATCAACGTGCACGCGTACGACCCACGCAGCTGCGCCCCCGTGGCCTTCCCGATGCAGCTGCGGCGCTTCTACACGAACATGCCGGGCCTCGCCCCCGAGGAGCTGCGCCGCCGCTTTCGCTTCCTGACGGTCATGAAGTGGGAGGGGCGGAAAGGGTGGGACGTGCTGCTCAAGGCGTACTGGAAGGCCTTCGGGCCCACCTCGCCGCTGCACCACCACGTCTCCCTCTACCTGAAGGTGAGTTGGATCCGGCGGTACTCCGGCGGAGCCAACGACAACAACATCCACGAGCTCATCGCGAACTGGTCGAGGAGGCACCTGCCGGGGTTCACCTCCATGAAGGACTTTCCGCACCTCGCCTTTTTGGGCGGCGACGGGTACTTGAGCGAGCGGGCGCTGCGGCAGCTGTACTGCTCCGCCGACGTCTTTGTCTTTCCCACGCGTGGCGAGGGGTGGGGGCTGCCGGCGACGGAGGCGATGGCGATGGGCGTGCCGGTGCTCTCCACCAACTGGGGCGGCGCCGCCGCCTTCATGTCGCCCAACGCCACCTTCGCCATCCCCGTGGACGGGCTCGAGGAGACGCCGGAGGGGCTCGGCTACGACACATTCCCGGGCAACAAGTGGGCGGTGCCGAGCGTGCGGGGCGCGGCGGCGATGATGCGGTACCTCGTGGAGCACCCCGACCACGCACGCGCCGTGGGGCAGCGGGGGCGGCGGCACATCGAGTCGCACTTCAGCGAGGAGGCCGTCGCCGACGTCATCGACGCCCGCTTCGCCGCCGTGACGCGGACGCTGCTGCACCTCCGCTGACGCCCCCCTCCCCCCCGCCCGCAAAGGCGGCGAGGGCAACATCAAAAAAAGGAAGTAGTAAAAAATGATAATAATAACGTGAAGAAAGGCGAAAGGGGGAAAAAAAGCAGCGACGGCAACGAAGAGGAGAGAAGGAACGGGGAGGAGGAGCCGGAGCGCCTCTGGGGGCCCACGTTTTGCACGTGGGGGAAACGGGGCGGCCGTCTAAAAAGAAAAAAAGGCAAAAAAAAACAGAAAAAAACAAAATGAGGAGGTGCGCCGCGGCGGGGCCATACGACAACGATAGGAAAGAAGGAAAAAAAAAGGACATGAGTGGCTGTCCAATGCCTTATATGACTTACATGGTTTACCGTTCAACACGTTTTATATAAGCGGAGGCCGTGCATTTTTGTAACAAAAAAAACAAGAAGGAGCACGTGAAAGCGGGACACGCGTGGAGTCGGGGATGCGGTTCACTAGTCGATAGGATTTTTGCGTGGATGGGCCCCTCCCGTGCTTGGGTGATGCACACGATTACTTCTGCCTGTGTGTTTATGTATGCATACAAAAAAAAAAGCAAGAAAAATGCTGCCGATTTGGAAGCAGACAGCGGGGGTGTTTCTATGAGTGTGTGCGTGTGTGTTTTTTTTTGCCTCTTCTATTCCCTCTTTTTTTTTCCCACTGTGGTCCGTCGTCGCGCCGTAACCGCCCCGCAGCCGCAGGGAGGCGGAGACGGGGCTGGGCGGGCGACGGCGGCTGGAGGGAACCGCAGCAACCAACCGCCTCGCGAGTTCACACGGGGACGCGGTTATCACTTACATAACCTTTGAATTCATCCGTGTTTTTTTCTTTGCTTCTGTGTTTGCGTGTATGCCTGTATGTACACCTCTCTCTCTCTCTTTGTGTGTGTGTGTGTGTGTGTGGCGCGGGCCGCCTGCTCCGTGCACCAGCCACGCGCGGCGTCCGCCTCGTTCGCCCCACGGGGCGACACCCTCCTCCCGCGGCTGCCTTCCCGCCTGTATTGTTGTTATTGTTATTGCTTTTCCCCTGCCCCCCTCCCACGCGTGCGTGGAGGTAACACTTTTGCGCCGTAGTCATCAAGGCGGGGACACGCGGGACAGCAACGACAGCGAAAGAGGAGGCACGCACGCAGCAGACATCGACCGTGGCGAGCAGGCAGAGGCGGGGCAAGAGATGAAGGCGATGCCGCAGTTTGAGGGCGCGAACGCCGCGCCAAGTGTGACGAAGGTGCTGCTCAGGTCCGGGCGCAACAAGGAGCACAACGTCATTGTGCCTCCCGCCACGAAGTCCATTCGGGAGATTCAGGAGCAGATCCCGGCGAGGTTCTTCGAGCGCAATACCACCCGCAGCCTGCTGTTTCTGCTGCGCGACCTCGCGCAGGTGGCGGTGACGTACGCCGTCATGTACGCCGTCGCATTGCCCCTCGCCAACTCGCTTGAGGCCGCGGCTGCCGCGTTTGCCGCCGGCGCCTCGGGCGACGCTGGGGCCGCGCCGTCGATGGCGGCAAAGGCCCTCGTCAGCGCGGCGTGGCTCTTCAAGGCGCTGCTGTGGAGCGTCTTTTGGTTTGTGCAGGGGCTCAACGGCACCGCCCTCTGGGTCGTCGCCCACGAGTGCGGCCACCAGGCGTTCAGCCCGCTGAGGCGCGTGAACGACGCGGTGGGGATGCTGCTGCACTCCGCGCTGCTCGTGCCGTACCACAGCTGGCGCCTCACCCACGGCACGCACCACAAGCACACCAACCACCTCACGAAGGACCTCGTGTTTGTGCCGCAGACGCGAGACCGCGTCGTGGAGCTGGTGGAGGAGGCCCCGCTGGTGACGCTGCTTCTGCTGCTCGTCATGTTCCTCTTCGGCTGGCCGGCGCACCTGCTGGCGAACGCCTCCGGGCAGGACTTTGGCCGGTTCGCGAGCCACTTTGACCCCACCGCCCCCTTCTTCCGCGGCGAGGACTACCACGACGTCGTCGTCTCGGACGTCGGCGTCGTCACGGTGCTGCTGCTGGTGCTCTCCAGCGTCTACCGCTTCGGCCTCGCCAACGTCGTCTGCTGGTACCTGGCGCCGTACCTCTGGGTGAACTTCTGGCTGGTGTTCATCACCTACCTGCAGCACACCGACGTCCGCATCCCGCACTACACGCACGAGCACTGGACGTTTGTCCGCGGCGCCGTGGCGGCGGTCGACCGCGACTACGGCGCCCTCCTCAACTCGTGGCTGCACCACATTAACGACTCCCACGTCGTGCACCACCTCTTCAGCAAGATGCCGCACTACAACGCGATTCAGGTGACGCGGCGGCACATTCGCGGCATCCTGGGCGACACGTACGTCACCGACGCCCGCCCGCTCTGGCGGGCGCTCTGGAGACCGGCGCGGGAGTGCCGCTACGTCGTCCCCGCCGAAGGCATCTGCGTATACTACCAATGACCGCCCACCGCGACGCCCGCAGGCACGTACATATAAACACATGTACGTACATGTGTGTATAGTAATATTAGTAGCAATAATAATAACAGTGATAATAGGGATGGGGGGGATGAAGTCTCCCTGCCGCGTGGCTGCCCGCCCCCCGGCGTCGAGAGACGCCAAGGAAGGGAAAGCAGCTATCAACCACGGAAGAATAACACGGAAGCAGCCGATGAAAGCAAAAAAAAAATGCATGCTGCGTTTGCCCTTCTGCCACTTTGCTTTCCATCCATGCGTGGCCCGGCCGCGTGCACATCTCCCCATGGAAACCCCAATGGCGGGTGTAAGACAAGGCGAAGATGTCTGCCTCGCACTCTCCCAAGGGTTGTTTGTGCGTCTGCGTGGGAGGTCGGCGGCTGCCGGGCAAGGCGGCGGTGGGGGCAGCGGGGGGAGCCCTCCGCGTGTTTTTCCGAATTTTATTCTTCTGTTTCTTAAAACAAAAATTGTTTTCCTTTGTACATGAAACCACGCGCCGCCGCCTTCTTCGCACCTCCTCCGCCGCGGCAGCAGACGACAAGGCCGCAGGAGGGGCGGGAACGAAGCACATAGCGCCGCGTACCGTGGGGGGAGGAGGGGGGTGAACTGGCAGGGAAAAGGGAATTGCGGGGAGCTGCCACCGCGGCGTCCGTCCGTCAGTCGCTTGTCTCCCGCGCCCGCTTCCACCGCCAACGACGCTCGGGAGCTGCAGGCGTCCCCCGCCGGCGCTTCATCGTTAACTTACACCTTTTTTTTCTGTGTGACTCGAGACGCACCACCGGCGGGAAATGGAGGCGTGGGGGTAAAGTTTTTTGCCGAAGGTGCCTTTTCTGTTTGTTTGTTTGTTTGTTTTTTAATTTTTACCCCGTTTTCTGTTGTGTTTTTTTTTTATGTTTTTGATTCCCTCGCGTCGTGTCGTCTTGTCGCTGCCGTGGGCCTCTGCGCCCGCCTCCCCCCGCCCTTTCGTCCCCCACACGCCCCCACGCCCCTCCCCCGCAGGCACACACACACACACACCCACGCCCCCAAGTAGGCGGGGACCGCACGAAGACAAAAAACAAACAAACAAAAAAAAGAGGCCGGCGGGGGCTGCTGGCGGGCGCCGATGTTTGCTGCGACGCGGGGGCTGCGGCTGTGGAACCCCGTGCGAGGCCGCGTGCGGCCGCCCAGCTGCGGAAGGGCGGATGCCCTCACGGCGACCTCCGCCGCGCTGTGCGCGGGCACGTACTGCATCATGGCCGACTGGGTGTACGGCGCCTACGTGGACCTTTGGCACGGCGTGTACGGCCTCGACGACGAGGACGACGAGGACGACGACGACGACGACGACACGACGGCGAGGAGGAGGACGCATGAAACGCGTCGTTTGCTTTTGGGGTTTCCCTTCGCCCTTACAAGTATTTAGATGCCTATATGTCTATTCTCGCGGCTGCTTTTCTTCGCCTCCCACTCACTCCTCTCCGCCTGCGCCGCAGACGGTAACGGCGCTGGTCCGTGTCGTGCCTGACGCCGCCGATGCCTTTGCTCCTTGCCGTGCCCCACGCGCCTTCCTTCTTCTTCTTTCTCTGCCTGCACAGACACACACACACACACACAACCACACACAGGAAGAAACCCTCGCGGGAACCGCCGCGTCGTTACTTGCGTGCGCGTGTGTGTTTTGCCGTGGAGTGAAGGGTTTTACGTGCCTCCCGCTGCTTCCGCCCGCCGTCCGAATGGATGCGTCGTCGGTGGGCAGCTCGTGCGACCTGACGGAGGACGTGCGCGGCGTGCGGCGGCGGCGGCGCGTCTCGCTGAGCTCCGTCGACTCCGAGCCTATTCCCAAGCGGTGCCGGCCCGACGCCGAGCCGCACCGCGCCGCCGCCGCTGCTGCTGCTGTTTCCGCCGGCGACGGGGAGGAGGACGGCGGGACGCGCGGCTCCCACGCGAGGGACGACGCGGGCGACAGTGACGCGTCGGAGGGGCCCGAGGCCGGCGCCGGCGCCCTCCACCGTGCGGGGTCGCCGTCCGCCGAGGAGCAGGCGGCGCTGCGGGACGCGAATGGTGACCCGCTGCTGCAGATCCCGCTCGAGCGCGTCTCCGAGGCGGTGGCGGCCGTCGTGACGGGCCTGATCGCCCGTAGCAGCACCGTCGTGGCAGACAACGCCGCCGGGGCGCCGGCGATGGACGCCGGGACGCGCCTCTGCCTCAAGGACGGCGCCGTTGTGGGCGTCGTCGCGACGGTGATGGGCCCCGTGGCCGCCTGCGCCTACGCCGTCGTCTGCCTCCCCGCCGTCTTCGACGCGCTGTGCGGGGCCGGCAGGCTCGTCCCCGGCGCCGACCTCCGCTACGACCTCGGCGAGCAGCGCATCATCTTCGACCCGGCGGCGCAGTGCGACATGCGCCGCGGCACGGACGCGAGTTACATCAACGACGAGGAGCTCCCGCCGCACGCGCGGCCGGACTTCTCCGACGACGAGGCGGAGCGCCAGTGGAAGATGCGCCGCCGCATGGACGCCGACGCGGAGCCGCTCTCCGACGACGACGTCCCCGTCGACGTCGACTGGGCGAAGCTCGACGCCCTCGAGGCGGGCCTGCGGGCGGAGCCGGCTGCGCCGCAGCAAAGCAACCGGCTGGTGGTTCCCCCGTGGGTCGCGGCGGCGCCGGCCTCCACACCCCAGCGCGATTAAGTGAGAAGTTAAGGGCGAGGCGCGGTGGAAAGAAGAGTAAAAAAGTAAACCAAAAAAAGAAAAAAAAGAAAAAAAACCGAAGAACAAACATGAAAAAGGACACCGCATCGTACCGACGCAAGCGCGGGCGGCGGCGGCGGCGGCGGCGGGGTAACGTTTCAAAGAGAGACAGTGATGCAGCGAAAATGGACGCGCCGACGCCCCCTGGAGCTTTTGGCACTGGCGCGTACGGCACGACGCGGCAGCGAGGGCCATGTTACGACCCTCCTCAGGAGGGACCGTGTCGCTCGCTCGCTCTGCTTTGCCGCCGCCGCCGCTGCCGACTGAGAAGGAAAGAGCTAAAGCGAGAGAGAGAGAGAAAGAGCGGGGTGTGTGTGTGTGTGCAGGCGCAGAGTTTGTCACGGATGTTCCGGAAAGTTGGAGGTGCGTGCTGCGCAGCGGCAGCCATCTTCTTGGAATCATGCGCTGGCGCCTGTGGATGAGAGCTCTCCCACACTTATCTTTGTTTTTTTTTTTTTGTCTCGCAGACGGAAGTCCTGACCTCCGCTCTTGCTGCAGTCGCCGCCGTCGTCGTCTCTTTTTTTTTCTTCTCTCTCACTTTCTCTCCCTCCCGGTCCCCGTGTGTGTGTGCCGCCCGCTCGGGCGCCGGTGGGGGGCGACTGCGGGTGCAGAGGAAGCTGCTCATCACGCCGTGCGGGCATGGAGTGGGCGCGGGGGCTGAACTGCTCGTCGGAGCTCGGCGGCTCCCGCGGCGGCGTCGACCCGCGCAAAGTGTGGGAGCAGACGGTGGCGGCCAATCAACAGCTGCTGAACATCGTGAAGGAGCGGGAGACGCGCGCGACTGCGACCGCGGCGTTGTTTCGCAGCCGCCACTTCGCCCTGCTGCAGGCGCTGGCGGCTGCTGAGGCGGAGGTGGCGGCGTTGAACGCCCGCAGCCGCAACCTCGTCGCCGCTCTGCGGGCGGCCCAACTGCGCGGCGCCGGCCAGGCCCAACATATCGACAACATTCACGCGACGGGCGCCGCACGGACGCCCGCCGTCGTCGCCACCTCCGCCGCTGACGCCGAGGACGACTACGCGCAGCTGCTGCAGCGCCTCACACACACCGGCCGGCTGCGGGCGGAGCTGCAGGCGGAGGTGCAGCAGCTGCAGTCGACGTGCAAGGCGGCCCTGCAGGAGCGTGCCGTACTGCTGCGGTCGCTGGAGGCGCAGCGGGAGGCGCTGGAGCCGCTTCTGCGCGACGCCGACAGCTTGGCGCGCGCGGAGGCGGAGGTGCGGGCGACGCTGCGCACGTACGGCGACGGCGCCGTGGGGGCGGGACGGGCCGCGCTGCTGCAGCGGCTCGCCGCCTGGTCCTGCGAGGAGGCGCGGGCCGTGCGCGGCGTCACCGCCCTCCTCAGCGGCTTCATTGACGCGGAGGACGAGAACCTCCGTGCGGCGGCGGCGGCGGCGGCGGCGGCCTCGGGGCGGCTGCGGGGCGTCGAGGCGGCGGTGCGGTTCCAGCAAACATGGAATGACGCCCTGCTGCGCTCCATCGGCGCCTTTTCGAGCGCGGCGAATGCGCGGCGGGAGGAGCTTTGGGCCCGTGTCGAGGAGCTGCGGCGGCGCAGGGCGCGGGACGAACGGGAGGGCGGCCGCACCGCCGATTCCCCAAAGCGCCTGCCAGGCGCCGGCTGCGTGGGTTGACGGGGGCGCCGGGGCGGGGGCGGGGGCGGGGGAACAGGAGCGGCCGGCCGCCGCCGCAAGCAGCAGCAGAAGAAGAAGGAAAATGAAACGGTAGAATTTCTCATGCCCGCTTAAAAGGCCATGCGTGTCATCTGCGCCGCGGCTTCTGCGTGCCTCTCTTTCTCCCTCCTTCTCTGTCGCTTGCTGTGGGGCTTCCCTCAGTTGTGTCTTTTTTGTTGTTCTTGTTGTTGTCAATGATTTCTTCCTCCCCATCTCTTTCTCCGCCTCGCGCACACGCGCGCACGCCGCAGGAAAGGGATTTTCACAGGTGCACTCAATGTTTGCGCGGCGGCTGCTGCTCTGTCGCCGCGCCGCCGTGGGCCTCACGGGCGTCTGCCTCACCCAGCGGGCCCCGTCCTTTCAGCCCTTCTCGCAGAAGGACGAGGATGACTTGGTGCGGGTCGTGCGTACGAAGCCGCGGCACGTGTTGAAGCACGTCCGGCAGCAGGTCTGGCGCTCGCGCAAGCGGGAGCTGCACTTCCGCAACACCGTCACGCACCTGATGATTGTGCTGCAGGAGTTCCTGCGCAAGCAGCTGATCGACCCGGCGAGCGCCTCGCAGATCATGGAGGGGGTCATGGAGGAGTGCGTCAAGTACTCGCAGCACGACATGGCCCACCTGCTCTTCCGCGCCTTTTTGCGGTTTCGCAAGTACGGCTGCGTCATCTCCGTGGACGCGCTGCGCTACCTCTTCGAGTCCTACAAGGCGAACGACAGCGGCGAGCTGATGGTGCAGCTCGCCAACGAGATGCGCTCGGACCCCGCCATGCGGCCGCTCTGCATCGCGGCGTACCTCTTCGCGAACCACCCGGCGGAGGCCGACGCGCTGCAGGAGGGGCTCGCCTTCAGCGACCTCACGCGCGACGACGTCGTCGCCCTCATCGACGGCTACGACAAGCTGCACCGGACGGAGAAGGTGATGGAGGTGCTGCAGCGCGTCACGTCTCTCACCGTGGCGCCGGCCGACCTCACCGACATCTTTCGCGCCTTCTTTCGCGTCTTCTACCGCCGCGACGACGAGGCCTCGTTTGCCGCCGTCTTTCAGGCATCCCGCGACAAGGCGGTGCCGCTCGACGCGGCCACGTTTGCCATCATTCTGCGGCAGCGCATGCGGCACGTGACCTCCGCCGAGGAGATCGCGGCGGTGGAGGGGGAGCTGCAGGAGTTCGGCTACGTCCCGGACGTCACGGGGAACTCCATCGTCATCGCGGCCTACGCCCGCCTCATCCACTTCGGCGACCGCGGCAGCGAGGAGCTGATGCTGGCGAAGGTCGACACCCTGCTCTCCTCCATCGAGTCCCGGCTGAGGCAGGGGGACCCCGACATGGACATCAGCGCCGCCCACATCCGGGCCGTCATCCGCGGCTACGGCGCGGCGGGGCGGCCGGACGCCCTGAAGACGGCCTGGACCCGCATGCAGCACAAGGGCCTCACCGACGACGTGCGGGTGTACAACGAGCTGTTTAAGTGGCTTGCGCTGATGGGCAACGTGAAGGACGTGATTGCCTTGAAGGAGGATATGGACGCCGCCGGGGTGCACCCCGACTCGCAGACGTACGCCTGGACGCTCCGGGCGCTGGGCAAGTACTACCCGCGCCACGTGGAGAAGCTCTACGAGGAGATGCTGGAGAAGCACGTGCGGCCGGATGTGCAGCTGTACAACACGCTGATCGGCATCTTCGGTGACCTCGGCGACCTGCAACGGGTGGAGACGATTGTGGCGGAGATGAAGCGGCGGGAGGAGGTTGGCAGCCTGCAGCTGACGCCGGTCACCTTCGCCGTGCTCATTCGCGTCTACGCCGGCGACCTGGCGAAGGCGGAGGCCGCCTACGCGGAGGCGCGGCAGCGCGGCCTTACGGACCACCCACACGTGCAGACGAGCATGCTGCACGTTTACGCCAGCCACGCGGAGGGCGCGGAGAAGCTTGAGGCGCTGCTTCGCGACATTCCGGCGTGGTCCACGGACGTCTTCAACGTGCTGCTGAACATGTACGGCAAGCGCGGCCAGCGGGAGAAGGTGTGTGAGTTGATTGACAAGATGAAGGCGGAGGGGACGGCGATGAACGACGTCACCTTCGGCACCCTCATCACCGCCTTTGCCCGCTGGGGGGACGCCGCGAAGGTGCGGGAGGTGATTCAGCTGCTGAAGGAGCACGAGGGGGAGGTCTCCGCCGCCTTCTACTCCGTCCTCGCCTCTTCGCTGAGCCGCATGGGCGACGTCGACGGCGTGAGCAACGCCTGGGAAGACCTGCTCTCGTCGAAGCTCTTCCCCGACACGGAGGTGTACAACCAGTTCCTCCTGCTCTACAGCCGGCAGCACAACGCGGGGAAGATGCAGGCGGTGCTCAACAGCATGATGAGGCAGGTGCCCCCCAACCCCGTCACCGCCACCACGGTGCTGGACATGCTGGGGAAGTCGGGCCGCGTGGCGGAGATGGAGTCGCTCTTCGCGGACATGAAGCAGTCGCCGGACACCACGCCAACCTCCGTGACCTACCACCAGATGATGAACACGTACGCCAAGACGGGGGACGTGGCCAAGATGGAGAAGCTGCACAGCGAGTTCCTCGAGAAGGGCTACACCAACAGCGCCGTCACCTACAACATCCTGGCCGACGGCTTCGGCCGCGCCCGCCGCTTTGAGCGGATGGAGGAGATTGTGCAGCAGCGGAGGCAGGCGGAGCTCCCCATGGACGACCTCACCTACTGCATCATGGCCACCGCCTACGGCCGGGCGAAGCTGAAGAAGGAGGTGCAGCGCCTCTACGCGGAGGTCACCACCCCCGCCTCCCGGCACCTCTTCACTAGCAAAGTCATTTGGTCCTTCATTGACGCCTTCTGCCGCTGCGCCGCCCCGGAGGAAATGGAACGCTGCGTGGCGGAGCTGCAAAAGACGGAGGAGGACGGTAGCCTCAGCGCGAATCACGTCCTCGCGCTCATTCCGTACTACTGCCGCCTAGGGGACATGAGCCGCGTTGACGAACTCCGCGAGCGCGCGAAGGCGCTGAACGCGGACCTCTCGTACACGTCACTGAACGCCATTGCCCGCGGCTACGCCAGGGCGGGGCGGTTTGACAAGACGGTGGAGACGCTCCACCTGCTGCGCGACCGCAACTGGGTCCCGGACGCCGCCACGGCGCTCTCCCTCTCCGGCTCCTTCCTCAAGGCGGGCCTGCACGAGCAGGCGCAGCAGGTGGTGCAGTGGCGACGGCAGTACGCGAAGCACGCGGGGGAGGAGGTGTCATCGGCTCCGGAGGTTTAGGGGGAAGTGCGCCTCGGCGCACAGGCGCGTAAAGCAGGGCAGAGCGCGTGAGGAGGCGAGAACGAGCGGGCGGCGGCGCTCCCGTAGAGTGGGGCCCGCCGCTTCTCAGTGTAAGTGCGTGCGTGCGTGCGTGCGTGTCTGTGTAGCAGAGAGAGGGAGGGAGGGAACAGAACGGGGCGGGGCACGCAACCAGCGACAACAGCAGAGCCCCCCCTCCCGGGCCGTCGCAGGAGTTGCTAGACATCTTTTTCTTTCCTTCCTTCTTCTCTTTCCCTCTTTTCTTCTTTGTCCGTGTGTTTGTGTGTGTTGCACGTCTGCGGTGTCAACACACACAAACACACGCATAAAATACACATGTACGCACATGGCCGTTTTGCAGTGTGTTTTTTTTGTGTGTTTTTTGCTGCCGCCCCCTCCAGCCTCTGCGGGGCGGGGGGACGTGCGTGCGTGCGATGCGTTCAAGTGCCGTATCCGCCTTGCAGACGCTCCTTTTTTTTCTCCTCAAGTCCCTTCCTGCCCACACACGCACGCGCCGAAAGTAAAGAAGGAAAAGAGAAGAAGCGCTACTCGCTACTGCGCACTTTGAAGGCTGTGCAGTTGCCACCACCCGCGACACACGCAAATACGCACAAACACACAACCGTCGCGGCCTGCGCGGACCCACCGCAAGGAGGGAAGGAAGTGAGAGAGGCTCATCATGCCGCGACACCTGTTTTCCGCTGTGGTGCTGCTGCTCCTCGTTGTGCTGATATGCTGCAGCTATGGAACTGTGCACGCTGAGGGGAATAAACCAAAGGAAGCGCAACTGCCGCAGAGTGTTGAACTTTTCTTGCCAAAGAAGACGCAGGTGGAAAAGTAGAGTGGAAGGCAACCGAAAGGTTTTTTTTCTCCGCACCTTCGCTCGCCAGTGCTGGTGGCGTCTTGGTTGCTTTTGCCGAAGGACACATCAACTACACAGACCCCCACAATCAATTGGTGGGGTACACTTATTCTGATATTGTGGCGGGGTACATCGACGCTGCGGAGAGCTGGGCGTCTCTTGTCGCTGCGGTCGACGCAAACCAGTGGAAGGCATACAGCGTCTTTGCCAGAACCAGCCAAGTGGATCGTGTGGGCCGTGCGTTTTGCCCCACCGCAGTTGCAAAGGACAACAAAGTCTTTCTTCTTGTGGGAAGCCACTATTTGATCTACGACAGTACTGACTCAACGTGGACGAAAGGTGACTGGAGTCTTGTTTTGCTGGTGGGTGAGCCCACGCAAGGCAAACAGATCCAGTGGGGCCAGCCCCAACAGCTGCTGCCACAGATCGCCCAATCCGCTCAAGCGAACCAACTGGATGAGTTTTCTGGTGCTGGTGGCTCAGGCGTTGCGATGGCAAGTGGCGCGCTTGTGTTTCCTGTTGTGGCAAATAAGGGAGGGGAGACGTCCTCCCCTGTCTCCACGATCATCTACTCGGCGAACAAGGGCCAAACGTGGGTGCTCCCGAAGGGGATGCTCCCTACGGACTGCACTTCGTCCCTCCTCGCCGAGTGGGAGGCGGGGCAGCTTCTCATGATTGCCGATTGTGCGTTTGGCCGCAGGGTGTTCGAGTCGAGGGACATGGGGGCAAAGTGGGCGGAGACTGTCGGGACACTCTCGCGCGTGCGGGGTGATTTTGAATCAAACCCTTTGCAACGGGCTCGGCGTGTGACGTCCCTCACCACCGCGACGATTGCTGGAACGAGGGTCATGCTGTACACCCAGAAAGACTACCCACTCGGGGCGACGGCGGGGGCGAAGGCGCTCTTCCTTTGGGCCACCGACAACAACCCGACGTTCCTTGGTCTGTGCGCGCTGTGGCGTCAAGTACATGAGGCTGGGGTCTCTAGTCCGCCACACTCGACGTCACCATAAGGACAGCAATGTAGCGCAGATACGTCTTGAGGACGGGTCCCTTCTTTTCCATGACATGGGCGTCCGGGAGTTTCAATGCCCACACTGCCCCCTGAAGAGCACACAACGAGGTGGACTCAGCAGGCATATAAAGGCAGCCCATGGGTATTCCGAACAGGAGTCGCGCCGCAATGTGCTAAAGTATGCCTGTGAGGAATCGTCGGCCCACTTGTTGGAGTGCCCCGCTTTGAGAGAGCTACGGATTAGCTGCGGCCTAGAAGAGTTATCTAGAGAGAAACAGCTCAGCAGTGACAAGCTGGCAGTATTCCTCTGCAGACTCTTCCAACTACGGTGCCCGATGCA